CCCCAAAACCCCAAAACCCCAAAACCCCGAGATAAGACTTCAGCTTTGAAATTTATTCTAATTTCTTCTTTCACTTAGTGAACTTGTCTGTTATCAGTATTTCTTTAGAGCATTCTTGGGATTTTGTGATAGGATTGTCTGAATTGGTAATTTCAAGATTTTCTGTTGAGTCAGATCTTTCTGATGGGGGATTTAGGCAAATAAAAATGTTCTTGTCGATGTTGCTTTTAGTAAACTCTTTAGACATCTCAGCCATCTCAAGGGTTGCTTCTGAAACTGAGATGTCAATATCTAAGCAATTTAATTCCCAGATAACTTCAAGTAAAGACTTAAAGGCTGAATTTGCATCTTCAACCTCAGAAGCTCTGATCTTGACAGAGATAGCATTAAGAGTAGTTTGATGTTCCAGAAATGAAATTAATGAGAGTATCAAATCCTTGTTACTGATTTCATAACCAATCTTAAGTTTCTTTAAGTTCAAATTATGAAGAGCTTCAAAGGATATTTCATTGATCTGTTCTTGCTGGTCACTTTCAGGCTCAAGATCAATGATTTCTATCTCTACTTTTATGAATTTAGACAGGCTTTGGAGAATCTCGCAGGTGTATTCTTTACTGAGATCAATAGAAGATATCTTTATTTGTAAATCTGACAGTTTCTGAATTGAAACTACAGAGAGTATTTTTCTCAAGAATCCAAAGTCTCAGTTCAGAGTTTTGATTTCATCTGTAGGAATATAGATCTTTAGATCTTCAGATGAGGATTTGTGTTCCTCAAGGTCTTTAAAACTCGATTTTTCAGAGACATCTGCATTAAAAATATTTTCTTTTGATCTGAATATAATATAATTATTGTCAATCGTATAGTCATTTGCCACTTCTAAACTGAAATTAGTCATTTTCATAGTCCAGTTGCTGTAGCCAATCAAGCATTTGTCTCCTTTTATCTCATACTTCATGGCCTTTCCGTAACTTTTTCTACAAAAAATTAATTTGATTGGAAATCCTTTATTGTTTAGCACATTTGATAAAACTGGAATTAAATCAAGATTTTTTGGCTGCATGGACTGACTCTGATCTTTAAATAACCCTTGACACTTAAGGAAGAAAGTTGGAACAACCCCTCTTTGACAATCTTCAGTAATTGTGTGATTCTCTAATATATCTGAGAGCTGGTGGATACAATCCTTATCTCTCACAATATTTCTATGCTCCAGTTTAATTTTAATGCCAGAGCCTTTAATTTCTTTTGAAAGAGTTTTCATGGTTATGATCTCCAGTAATTTCTTGAATAACTCTACAAGTTCTGGAAGTTCAAGGTAGTTATTTTCTAATTTTGCTCACCAAAACTTGCTGGCTCTGATTATTTGGGGGATCCCAATTATATGAACAAACGTAGAGGCTTTTAGTATCATCGACTCAATTTGTTTTTAGAATTCAGAATGGTGGTGACTTAAACCTATAGTAAGTTGCTTTATCAACTTTATACTCTTCCACTTTAATCTTAAGAGCTTTAGAAATTGTTAAAATTCATTCAAAATCAGAAATTGTGCTTATGTCACCAAAAACATATATCACTCTAACTTTTAACAAATCTGAATCCACTATTTGTCAGAAATCAGCAATGATTTCAAGGCCTGGGAGATTATCACCAACAGCCCAAAATCTAAAAGAATATAGCTTATAAACGTTTGAGTGTGCCAGATCCATCACTTGTGAATCTCAAGATACTTCACCGTCGGAACTTGAAGGACCTTTAAGATTCTTGACCATTAAACTCCTCTTCTCTATATGGAATACTTCTTCCTCCTGGTCATTAATGAAAGGCTTGAGCCACTGGTCTTCATTAGAAAGCCAGAGCTGTCTGGACTCTGACCTGAGCTGTGTCATTAGAGTTTTGCATTGGTCTGCATATCCAAAATAAGGAAGGATCTTAATTGTAAGAGAGAGAGTTGTCAATAATGATATGCTTCTATCTTCTGCTTCTGAGACAGTCTTAATTTCTCCTAGATTCGAGACTGGATTACTTTCCATATTTTATTTTATTACTATTAAATACTTTCATAATTATATTATTCTACTTTCTGCTAAAAGCTGGGGTTTTGGGGTTTTGGGGTTTTGGGGTTTTGGGG